GGGAGGAAATACACAACCTGGGGAAGGAAGTTGAGAGGGCTGGAACAGAGGAGGGAAGGGAGCACAGGGGACCTGTGCAGCTGGGAGTCTTGGTGGGAAAAATAGTGGAGAAGAGAAAGAGAGAAGCCGCCCTGGGAGCAGCTCTGCGGGGCAGGCACTCTGGGGCGAGGAGGGGAAGCAAGAGAGGTGGGGCAGCATTATCAGAGGAGCCTGCTGCATGGCACACGCCTCGCTCCCTGAGCCTGCGCTCACCTGGGGCTCCTGCAGCCCCCACCTTGGAGGTCGCTCCCGGCAGCGCCCCCCTTTTTCCTTCATGCACGGCCCATCTCACAGCTGCCCTGGCCTTCCTGTCCTCACGGTTTTGCAGAAATTCCTCAGAACTAGGCTTGGTGACCGCACCCTTCCCTGTTTTCATCGGGGGCAGCATTCTGTCCCAGGCGCCTGTTTCTCTGGTAAATTCAGTGGGGACTGATGCGGGAGGACAGTCTCCCAAGGGGGCTCAAACCCCGCCTTGAGACTGAAGTTGCCCTGTGTCCTGACGCCCACTGATTAAAGCTGCTTCCCAGCGGCCTCAAGGGCTGGACGAACTCGGCACTTGGGCGGCAACAGCCCCCTGCTCCCACCCGTCCTACCCTGGGACACAACTGGGCTGCAGCTGCGCGTCTTAGGGGCCCCCTTGGGCCCTCGGGGGGCTGCATCTGCAAAGCCCGGCCCCCTGCTGCAGACGTGGTAGAGCCACTTGGTTAAAGCTGGGGTGGGGTGGGCGGCTGGACGAAGGGGCACGGAGGGGTTTGGCCCCAGGGAAGCTGAGAGGAGGCCGGGCTCACCAGAAGGGCTGAGCTGCTTGCGTAGAGATGAGGGAGCTCCCACCTCTCTGGCCATCTAGGTGCAGCAAAAGGTTTGTGTCAAAATCCAAATTGCTGGCATAAAATACTGGGGTGGGGGAGAGGCTGGGATGCAGCTCATGAGGATAGCAATTTACTTTTGAAAAACATTTTAAAGGAGTCATAATTGTAGGGCTTCTGAAACTAGTGGTTTTCATACTGGGGTCCCGAGGCGTGCTCAGCTTCCATGCACGGGCCCCCGTGGCCCTCCCCAGGGACGGGAAGACAGGGCGCAGCAGATGCCAGAAGCCCTCCCCCGAACCCCACCCCAGCCCACCGGGCTCCAAGCAGAGCCCCCCATCTCTCACTTGTTTGGGATGACAGGTCCCCACATAGGATTTCATTGGACAAAAGGTCGCCATGATGACAAAAAGTAAATGCAAACATTCATACATCAATGCCCCTGGTTTAGCCAATGAGTTCTCCATACATCTAAAACCATCGCGTGTACAGTATCAATATTCGGCTTGCCTATTTCTTTCCAGGGTCATAGCTGCTGTGTGAGGTTGAGCCCACACGCCTGCAATGCACTCCCAGTGAGAAAGGTGGCCTTTGACACAGGGGACACGCTCTAACCTGAGAGGGGCGTCTCCAGGGAAGGAGCTCCAGCCATCAAAAGCAGAAGCGTCCTGAGCAGATCCGCCTGGCTTGGACGTTCTGGCAGGGTGCTTTGTGTACCAAATCAGCATTGCAAAATGAAGGCAACAAGAGGACCAGGGCTTCTTCCCTGAAGAGGCCACGAGGGCCACAGTGTTCCCCAGATCTGTCTCTGTGGGGAGCCACCGCCCAGGAAAGAAGCTCGAGCTCGCAGGGCTGCGTGCTGCCTGTGAGCTGCATGTCCCTGTTGCAAAGGCCGAGCTTCCTAAGGAAGCAGGCCACTGCGGCCATTTTCCTGACGTTCCCCTCCTGGGGGACGTAAAGTTCATACATTTGGGCATGCAGCGTGGCTAGACGGATGGAGATTGGTGGCTGCCAGGTCCGTGGCCTGGTTTAATTCTGTTCCTCATGTTTTAGTGGAACACCTCCGACAGTCAAAGCAGGGTGCTAAGAGCAGGGGGTACAAAATGAGAAAAAAAATAAACCTTTGCCCTCCGGGGGTTTGGTGTAGCTGCAGGAGGGAGTCTCACGAATGGATGAGTGAATGTCCTGTGGAAGGTGCCATCCTGAAAGTATGCTGCTCTAGTGCCAAGGAGCGCCGAGGTGAGGCAGAGTCCAATCGGGAAGCCACAGCAGTGACTGCTGGAGCTCATGCAAACTCACAGCCACTGCACCTCGAGACTCCGTATGGGTGACCCCTGGTCTACAGATACCTCCAGCGATCACAAATGCACTTTTGCAGAAGGACAGAATTTCAGCATTAGAAGCTACCTTCATAGCCATTAAACCCTTCACCGATCTGATCCTGGAAGCCCCTCTAGGACACACCTGCTAAATGAATCACTCTTGGGACAGGATGCTCACTACCACACAGGGAGGTATTTGGAGGACCTGGGTGCCCATTGACAGGTGTCTGGTGTTTAGTGCCTGCTGCCAGCTCCAGGGAGTGTGAAGGCAGCGCTCCCAGGTTCCAAGCACGGGGACTCTGGGCCCTCAGGTTGCATCTCAAGTGGAATAACTGGGCAGTTGGCTGCAAGTGGTCACTCTGAACACACACGGCTCCTCGGGGCATTGCACGTGCCTCCTGAGGCAGCCAGCCCTTCCCAGAGGGTCAGGGCAGAGCACACGGGGCCCCCAACAGTCTGTTCCCCTCTTTGGCCATGGAGCCTGTGGTCACCTAAGCCTAGACAGGGTCTCAGGGTTGTGTCACCCCGCAGGACAGCCCAGCCTCTAAGCATGTTATGCTGAATTGTGATGTGCTGCTCACCTTGTTTCTACTTTCTCCACTTGTTGTCCATTCCGTGCAAACTCCAAGCCAGCTTGGAAAAATGTTACCATGAAAGTCATGATTGCACGTGTGCGATGCCTGACCGTGCTCAGAGCATTCTGGGAGCAGCTCATGTGTGTGTCGGCCAGTGATACACTAGATGCCTTCTAGAGCTCTTTCTAGATCAAATCCCTTCATGTACGGAAAAGAGCAGAGATTCCAAGTGACTCTCCTGAGTTCCTGCAGGGAGGTCAACGAGGGACGGAGAGCAGGATGCGAGGAGCGACACACCGTGCTGGGCTAGATCCACTCTGTCCCGCTGCTTCTCCTTCCCAGCCTCTCCTGGAGCTGGACCAACTTCTCTCTGCACAGGTCAACGATCTGATTATGGGGCAGCATCTTCGCTGTCAAGGACTGACTCGGAAAAATGCTAGGGTGGGGCACGGTGAGACCCAGCTCAGCTCCTGCTGGCAAATCACACGCAGCTTTCCAAGCGGTTCGTGGGGGTTCCCAGGGCATTTCCCCTGATTTTAGGCCCCCTCTGAGGCTCCTACAGCTGAAGTCCACTAAAGTAAAACTCCTCCCCGGCTGGGTTTTATTATCAGCATGGTGACATAAGGGTACAGAGAAAGACGTTTCCTCCATTAAAGAAATTTGAGAGGATCCCCTCTTTTAGTGCATTGATTTTATTAGGAGCCAATTCTAAGATTATTTCTAGGACAGGAGGAATATAACATTAGTAGTCACGGTGGTAAAGAGGGCTCTACAGGGAAAAAAAGAAAAAGACTGATTTGCAGCACTTGCCAATTCATGTGGTATAGATATTCCCACCTCAGCCAATCCTAAGCCACCAGCGTAACGTTGCTGAAGATGTGCACAGTTAGCGCTCATGAGCCGGGACAAGTGGCCGCTGCAGCCGCCACCTTCCCTGAGATTTTGCTGTGACCTAGGTACCTTTTTAGGCTCACGGAACCCTAGCACTTCCCTGTGATTTCTCTATGAAAATGGGGACAGAGTGAATAGCTGTCTACAGGTTCTGTGAGGGCTGAACGAAGCCACGCACACAAGGTGGTCTAGAGCGGCGCCCGGCACGCAGTGGGCGCTCGACGAAAACACAGCCGTGCGTGTCCGGTCACCGCATGGATTCCATCCTCTCGGCAGCCGTGGGAAGCCCCCCTGGGAGCTCGGGTGTGGGTAGAGCTTGGACCGTGGTGCACTGTGTGCTGGTCCGGGGAAAGGCAACTTTCGCCCGACACCCCCGACTTGCCGGGCCTTCCTGAGGGTGACAAGTGGGAAGACAGGAGTGGCACGTACACAGAAGGGACCTTTCACAACAGAGAAAGAGCATTTAACTGAAAAGAGACACGCCGACCGAGCAAGGGGACGAGGCGGGTGACCCCAGATGGCCTGAGCCAGCTCCGGGGCAGGGCCGGTCCAGCAGCAGCACCCATGAGGACGCCCCACAGGCCAGGCCTCCGACGGGGGTGCTGCCGCCCGTCCCGCCCCGGGCAGGGCCTGCAAAACACCTGCGAGCTGGGTCCACGCTGAGCTGCCGGGGAGGGCGCTGAGTGTGCGCTGGGCGGAAGGCAGGTGACTTCCTTCCCACCTGACAGTCCTCGGCTCCTTCCCTCCAGCCAGAGCCGCCCTGGCCCCTGCCTGCTTCACTGCAGACCCAGCAGCTGGGCTCTGGGAAGGGAGGAGAGGGCGCCAGCTCTAAATGGCGGCCGGCACGTGTGCGCGGCTGGCTTGGCGTCTAAGTACCAAGCGCTGCGCACCTCTGTGCCCTGAGGTTGGAGTCCTTCTGCTGCAAGAGACACCCAGCAGAGGGGCGCAGGCGGCCAACGGACGACTGCCGACTCCTGGGGTCAGGGTCGGGGTCGGGGTCGGGGCTGGGGTCGGGGCCAGGGTCGGGGTCGGGGCCGGGGTCGGGGTCGGGGCTGGGGTCGGGGTCGGGTGAGTCCGGGCTGTCCCGGGCCGCTTCTCTGGGCGCCTGGGCTCTGCTCCCGGGCTCCTGGCGCTCGGAGCTGGTCTCCGGGGCCGCAGCGGCGCACAATGGGGGCCTGTTCCCGCCCACGCCGGGGCATTGTGTGAGAAAGAAGCGGAGAAGAAAAACGTCTGAATATCTGTTCTTGCTCCCTACGCCCCACCCACTCGGAACATTAACTTCATACCAAGCTCCCACGGCGTCAGTGGGACTCCCGGGACTCCAGGAGGCCCAGGACAGGCCAGCGGAGCCGCGTCTACACTCGCGCTGGCCGCGCCTCAGCCCCGTGGCCTCAGCCCCGAGCTTCACGCGCTTTCGGTGTCCTTACCTATGTGACTATGTGACGGCAGCAGTCACAGGCCGAGGGTGCCGAGGGCAGGGTATTTTTTTTCTGACTTGCATGTTTTTCTATTTTGCCTTTTTTCAAAAGAAAATTGGAAAGGTTATGTGTTCAGACTGCCACAGTCTTTGGTAAATTCAAGTTTTGACTCTTCCCATTACACCTGCCAGGGGTAAGCCAACTGCAGCGGCGAGGATGCCAGCAGGGTTGTGACTTCAGGTGAGTAAAGGGAGGCAGTTAGCTTCTCTTGCACCATCTCCCCGTTATGAAGCTTGGCCTTGCAGCAGCGAGCCAGGCTCGTCAGTTGACAGGGTCAGGGCCTGTATTCCATGCACTATTTTGAGCACCTAAGAGAAAAGATGGCAATTTTATCACCTGAAACTGCTTTCATTCCCTTCAAAAGGCTCAATGGCAGTCAGGAAAAATCTCCAAAAAGGCTATTCTTACCAATAATTAAAAGAGATTTTAAAGCTACATTAATGAAAAGGATTTGATTCTGGCACATAGAGAGATCCATGAACCAAAATAGAAAGTCCCAAAAGAGACTGGAAAATGCACAATAATGCACACGGCCAATTTCAAATCATCGTGGAAAAGACGGATGATTCAATAAATATTGTTGGGAAAATTAGTTCATCATAGCGGAAAAAAGTCAAACTGACTCTTCCTTCATATATTTATGGTAACATAAATAACAGGTGAAAAATATATGTCTAATAAAAAAGAAAAGTATAAAAGTATCAGAAACACAAGGTCATCTTTTCATATAATCTTAGGGGAGGAGAAAGCCTTACTAACCAAGCCACAACTCAACAGCCATAAATAAAAACATTGACATAGTTGACTATGGAAATATTTAAAATTCAGTCTATACTAAAAATACTAAAATGAAGTCAAAATACAAATGAAAGGGTGGAGAAAATATTTGAAAGAGAAGTTATGAACAAATGACTAATACATAAAGGTCTTAATACACAAACAGGACTTGTAATCCACAAGTAAAAGACCAACAACTCATTTTCTATGAGCCAATCACATAAGCAATCCACAGAGAGAGAAAAATGGCCTATAAATAAATGAAAAAAATGCAAATTAAAATTAGTACAGATTTTATTTTAATAGGTTAACAAAGACAAAAACGTTCAACAATGCACAGTGTTGATTAAAATGTGGGGAAACAGGCATTCTCACCAAATACTGGGCGGCGTGTAAACAGGTGTGACACTTTTGGAGAGCAACTTGGCGGTACCTGACCACAGTAGCGTGCAGTCCTCTGCAGGCCCACGCGCTCACAGGCGCAAAGGCAGAGCACTCTGCAGCGTCGCTCACAAGGGCTGAGGGCTAGAAACAGTCTCAGCGCTCGTCAAGCAGAGGCTGGTCGGACGCATTCACCCAGTTGTATACTCTGCAGTTGTTCAGAAGAATGAGACGATTCTACATGTTCTGAAAGAAACAATCTCTAAGACTGCGAAGTGGAAGAAGCAAGGGGTAGAACACGCTGTGTGTGGTGTGACGTGTGTGCATGCGTGTGTGTATCTGAGGGCGCACACTTGCACCTAAGCTTTACTGAGAGCTCCCACGTGCCAGGCACTGTTCAAAGCACTAAGGACATAGCAGTGAACAGGACAGACAGAACCCTCCGCCACGTGGAGTCTATATGCCGATGGACAAGAGCAATGAGCCATAGAGTATGTCACGTCCCGCCTGGTGCAAAGTGATTTGGAGAAAAATAAAAACGAGGGGTATGTGAAGGGCTACAGCTTTAAATTAGGTTCTCAGACAAAAGCTTCACCGAGAAGGGGGTATTTGAGCATAGAACCATGCACACAGATGAGGAAGAGAGTTCCAGAGCGCAGCCCACTCCACGACCCAGCAACAACGCGGGTACGGAGAGGTTGGGGCAGAGGAGTGAGGAGGAGGCTGTGGAAGACATGTCCCGGGAGGAGAGCGTAGCGGGCCTTGTAGGCTGCTCAACAGACTCGGACTTCTACCTTGGACGCCAGGTGACATGATCTGACTTAAAGTTTAAAAGCATGCAGAGAAGACTTCCGAAGAGACGCGCACCAACCTGCTGGTGGCAGTTGCCTCTGGGAAGATGCATGGTGGGAGGCTGCAGGGAGGTGTGGGGGGAGAATTACTTTGCATTCCATTCCATGGGCTGTTTTGTTTGTTTCTTTGTTTTATTATGCATGCATTGCTTTTTTCAATTTCTAAAAGAGCATGCTATGTGCAATGCAAAATAAAGAACTTCCTTGGAAAGGGATCTCTTTATTCCTGGATCACTGGGTAATCTAGGGATTATGTGGATACTAATTTAGGTTGGGTTCTCCAAAAGCAGCGCCTGAGGGGAGGACTGAGAACAGGGAGTCTGTGTAGGGGGGGAATCCAGGAAAACAGGCAGAAGCGTGGAGCAGTGAGACAGACGAAGAAAAGGGCCACACACACCAGGTCCCTGCTCCAGCAGACCACTGTTTGGGTAACTGAGTCTCCTGCTGGGCCTCAGAGTTGTTCGCCCCACTTAGGGGCAAGGGAGCTGGGCTGCTCACGACCGACTCCCACTTGCCTTAACCGAGGGAAGCCCCGCGGGAAGCAGCTCCGCCCCACCCAGGCGGAGACTGAGGGTGTAGGGCCACACACCGTCGCTGGTGCTGAAGCGGGGCACATGGGCTCTGCCGCAGAGGGTGCTTTGCCTTTGGAAAAGTACTTGCAGTGGTTTCCCCTCAAGTTCTTCTCACCCTACCGTACACAGTGGGCTCTGCTCTTTAATTCATTTCACATGAAGATGGAATAAATAGAAGAACACAGGGAGGGCTTAGAGCTGAGCTCAGGGAGTTGCACCAAACCCACAGTCTCTTCTACTCCTCCTGTAGCCCACAGAAAACCACAAGGGCCCTGGAACAAGGGCATGGATGCAAACACTATCTGCCTGGTGTGCTCCATCGGGAAAAAAAGTTTTGAAGACATCCCTTTGGGAAAACCTATGGTTCACCATTTTTTTAAAGAAAAGGAACTGTAGATAGCTGTGCATTTTCAGATACAACTGGAGTGCCCCATCCCCTCTTCCACACCCATTCACATCACCCTGCTCCTTCAAGCCCAGCTCTGAAGTGCCTGCCTCTTTTGGGAAGCCACCCCAAAGGAAGCCCACCTGCCCCGGTCTACCAGGGGACACTTAGCACTGGGGCCCCCAGACCCCTTCCCTTGCCACGGCAGGTGTCAGCAGTGGACCTGAAGGATCTGGATGTGTTGAAATCAGATGCTCGACCGAATCCTGGGATCTCTCTAACCCTCTGTCTCCTCATCTTCAAAACGATTGGGTGAGATTAAAAGATCTCTGTAAAATGATCTCAAACAACACTTCTACTCATTCAATTATTCTATGGTTTTAAAGCAACTAGTTTTCGTAATGGACCATGAGCTGCCCCAGAAAATGATTTCCAAAAACAGAGTTCAGAACAGCCCCGAGCAGCCCCCGCTTTGTTAGAATGAGAGAACCTTTCACGCGGATAACTTTGAAGGGGACAGTTCTCACTTGGGTATATGAGCTCCTCTATATACATTGTTTGAAAAAGAGAGACAGGGTCTGGCTCTGTCACCCAGGCTCGAGTGCGTGATCATAGCTCACTGCAACTTCGAACTCCTGGACTCAAGCGATCCTCCGGCTTCAACTTCCCTGGCAGCTGGGACTACAGGCACGTGCCACCATACCTGGATAATTCTTTTTAATTTTTGTAGAGACAGAGTCTCACTATGTTGTCCAGGTTGGTCTTGAACTCTAGGCTCAAACGATCCTCGCACCGCAGACTCCCAAAATTCTGGGATAACAAGCATGAGCCACCATGCCCAGCCCTCTGGTATATACTTTTTAGAATTACCTGTGAGTTCCTCAAAGGCAGGCCACAAACCCTACTTGTCTTCATGTCCCCACATTTAAGGTTCAGCGCAGGCTGTTGGTAAGACAGCACGCACATTGCCAGGTCCCTGAGAGAAGAAAACCAAACAGGTTTCAGCCTCTGCTTACAGGGTTAGCTTCTGTCCTGCTTCAAATCCTGCAGTGCTGCCCACTGTTCTTAGGAAGGTTTGTCTTACGTTTTGTTTTTGGTGTGGCCCACATCAGACCCCTGCCTGCCTCCCCGCCTCCACTTGGGTCGCCCATTGCGGCAGCCCTCCCACGCGGGGCCTCTCAAATGTGGTCTGCAGGGCAGCGGCATCGCAGTACCCGGGATGCCTGTTTGCAACGCAAGCCTCTGGGCCCCAACCAGACGGACTGAGTCAGACTCTCTGAAAGTGCGTCCCGGGAATCTGCAATTTTAGCACTCACATAAGGCAATCCTTAAGAACTCTGAAGTTGGAAAACCACTGTTTCTGCTAGGCCACCCTGACCTCCTTTTAATGTCTTGAGAGAGCTGGCCCGCTTTCCACCTGGATCAGTTATCCACTGCTGTGTGACAAATTATTCTGAAATTCAGCATCTTAAAACAACAAACACATTGTCTCCTAGAGCTTCTAGTGCTTAGGGACTCAGGAGCAGCTTAGCTTGGCGGACCTGGCTCAGGGTCTCTCACGAGGTCAGAGTTGCTGGCCAGGGCTGCAGGCGTCATTTGGAGGGGCCAGCTCCCGCCCATGGCTGCCGGCAGGTGGCTTTAGCTGGCCTGCAACAGCCTCCCCACAGGGCTGCTCATCCCCCACAGGGCTGCTCACCCCCCACAGGGCTGCTCATCCCCCACAGGGCTGCTCACCTCCCCACAGGGCCGCTCATCCCCCACAGGGCTACTCGCCTCCCCACAGGGCTGCTCACCTCCCCACAGGGCTGCTCACCCCCCACAGGGCTGCTCACCCCCCACAGGGCTGCTCACCTCCCCAAAGGGCCGCTCATCCCCCACAGGGCTGCTCACCTCCCCACAGGGCTGCTCACCTCCCCACAGGGCTGCTCACCTCCCCACAGGGCTACTCACCCCCTACAGGGCTACTCACCTCCCCACAGAGCTACTCACCTCCCCACAGGGCTACTCACCTCCCCACAGGGCTACTCACCCCCCACAGGGCTGCTCACCTCCCCACAGGGCTGCTCACCCCCCACAGGGCTACTCACCCCCCACAGGGCTACTCACCCCCCACAGGGCTACTCACCCCCCACAGGGCTGCTCACCTCCCAGCAGGGCTGCTCACCTCCCCACAGGGCTGCTCACCTCCCCACAGGGCTGCTCACCCCCCACAGGGCTGCTCATCCCCCACAGGGCTGCTCACCCCCCACAGGGCTGCTCATCCCCCACAGGGCTGCTCACCCCCCACAGGGCTGCTCACCTCCCCACAGGGCTGCTCACCTCCCCACAGGGCTGCTCATCCCCCACAGGGCTGCTCACCCCCCACAGGGCTACTCACCTCCCCACAGGGCTGCTCACCCCCCACAGGGCTGCTCACCTCCCCACAGGGCTGCTCACCCCCCACAGGGCTGCTCACCTCCCCACAGGGCTGCTCACCCCCCACAGGGCTGCTCACCCCCCACAGGGCTGCTCACCTCCCCACAGGGCCGCTCATCCCCCACAGGGC